TCTGGATTCAACTTCCAGAAATCACACTGCATATTCACAAACTCGATTAAACTAATATGGTACTGATCGGGCTCGAATTGATCTTCGTCCTCGATTCCCACAGACGGCGCCAGTTGAAGATACAAGACTTTGTTTCATCTCTCTCTCTCTCTAGCCTTTTTTTTCTAACTTTTTACCTGTCATGGTCTATTTATAGGCCATCACCCTTATTGCTGCTAACAAATTTCATTGGGCCTATATTCGAAAGCTCTCTTCCTTCTGGGCTTGGTCTTCCAATGGGCTTGACCTTCCTCGGTGGATCCCTCAGGTTCAGCCCATTCCAGGGCGCTTTGCCATGGATCCTAGTTTAATCATTCGATTCGATCTCACTCCTGCGAACCATATCCGGCCCATGCCACTTGCCGCATCCTCAATTAGGTTCAAGTTGGAAAAATTGTGTTGAATTTTGAATTGAGTTCTATTTAGATTAAAGGTTTTTATATAGGATAAATGTAGAAAACGTCCCTAAAGTATATTTTGCGTGTATTTTTATCCATGTTTGAAAAAGTGTGCAAAAAATATTCATAATCTTTTCACATTGTGTAAAAATACCTCTTTGACATAAATTAGTGTTGTAATACCTGTTTTGTCATTTTACTTTTCCGAAAATGTCCAAAGGAGTATATATGCTACTAATCCATAGTATAGGGGTGTTATGTGCACATTACCTTATGATTTTTTTTTTTTTTTTGAAACTTTGAGAATTTGTTGAACACGGATTTGAATTTTTTGAAATTTCAATTTACTATTTTCTACCAAATTTTTTTCTTTATTTATTTTATTTTCGTATCGACACTGTTAAACAAAAAAATGAAAAAAAAAAGAGTAAAAAAATCCTAATATCAGTGTGCACTGGTTTTCGAAGTTTGGAAATACTTGTTTTCTTTAGTTTGCACTTTATTTCCATTTTCTATTTTCTATTTTTATCTTTACTTTTCTTTTATACTTTATTTTTATTTTATATTTTTATCTTTACTTGTCCATTGATGGCGTCCTCCAGGAGTGTCATTTTCGGTCATTTTACAAAAATATATTTTTATTTATTTTATAAAATGGTTCAGGAAGAAAAATTTGTCAACTTAGGGTTTAAATTTGTCAGAGAGACCCATTTGTACCAAATTGAGACTTTAGGGATATTTTTTTTTGCACGTGGGGGCATCCTCCAATAATATCATTTTTGGTCATTTTACAAAATTATTTATTTATATATATTTTATAAAATGATTTAGTAATGGTAATTTAATCAACTTAGAGTTTTAATTTGTCAGGGAGCCTATTTGCACCAAATTAAAATTTTAGGAGTGTTTTTTGTACGTGAAAGGTGTGATATGCACTATAAATATACTTTAGGGTATTATTAGACTTGATATATTGGGTTGAACTTGCCTTAATTTCTCACCTTGTCCGTTCGTGGCCTTTTACTTCTCTAGTGCTTATAAAGTTATAAAGTTGTAAGATGATGATTTCGTGAAATAGAGGAGACTTTGTTTTGGTTATAACATTAATCATCCTAACTCACAGTTTTTATCATTATGTCCAGTAATATTTATAATATTGTAATTCATAAAGAATAATAATGTAATTTAAAACTTATGTAATTTAGGATAATATTTAATTTAAAACTTTTATGATATTCTATTTTTCTTCCCCACTCTACAGCCCATTTTTTTATTGATAAAAATTTGTAAAGAATTAAGGATGACACATCATTCCTATTATCATTTCTTTCATTATATTATTATCTCTAAAGTTTGTTCCTTCTTTCTTATTTTCTTTCCACCTCTTTCTCTTTTTTTTTTTCTTTTTTTTTTTGGTTAAAAGGGTAAGCTTTTCCACTTCTTTCTTCCTTCCTTCCTACCGAACAAAACGTAAGTATAATTTCAAATCTAAGGTTAGAGGCACGGAATCTTTTTTTGAAAATAGTTGAAGCATCTCTTAGGTATAATCTCTTATCTCCAGAATTCAACTAAACTAAATTCAACAATTTGTATATTTGAATGGCACTCTCTATGAACCCATATTCATCTCTGTCCAATCATTTGTTATATTCAAACTGAAACAGATATATCAATATATATAAATATATTGAGTATAGAAATTGGAAGCCTTACCAATGTGGAATTTCTATAATTCCCTAATTTTGTTACCAAAAAATTGGTCGGAATTTCAATTCTAGTTGCAGGAACGGTCACTGTTGTCTGGGTAGGAAGGTGAGGCTCACACCGAATCCGGTTTTACACCAGAATTTCATCGGTACCTCACCGGAATTTGAAATTTTTTGTCAAAAACTTCATCAAAACCTTACTAAAATCCGAGTTCATTCGTTGGAAACTTCATCAAAACCTCACTGGAATTCCCACCTTCTTACCGAAATTATCTTCTTTCTTAAACTTTTTCTTTAAGTCTAGCGCACCTCAAACCTTTATAAAGTGCTCCAAATTGAAGTGGTTTAAATGAGGTAATTAATTCAAAAGCCCATCAACCACCTTCCTATGTTGGACGGTCTAGAACGTTTGATCCTGTAACCTATTGAGTAATCCAACAGTTATATAAACCTCTTTATGCAAACACGTTCAAACAAGCATGTTTGGTTTGTAATTTTGAAAGCAGTTTTCATAAACTCAAAAAATAAAGAAAAAATTTCAGAGAACTATAAAAGATTGTTAAACATTTTTATAAGTGAGTTTTTAGAAAATAGTTTTCCTAAAACTGAATCAAGCAGAATATTTTGTGCAATTTTTAGTTTTTTGAAAATAAAAAATTGTTTCCATAGTTATAAACCAAGCAAACCCACGTTTCTAATCAAATCATCATGTTGAAACAAGTCATATTTTTATTTCATTGTTTTATATTGTTTGTGTTGGAGAAAAAAGAAAGGCTTATTGCTATGAAAAATTGTTTGTGGCTAATGTTGATGAAAAATTGTTTGTGGCTAATGTTGAGTTTTTGCCGCATAAATAAATGGTGGTAAATTTGGTTTTTTTGTAATTTTTTTTTTTTTTTATGACAACAATTATTTGTGCCAATAATATGACTTTTTTGCCAAATATAATTTTATGACAAAAGGTATGATTTCCACTATGAAAATAGTTTGTAGCCAATATAGCTTATCGCCACAAAACCCTTTTTTGTGCTTAAAAACAATTCTTCGCGAACTTGAATCCACCATCTAGCCCCAAAAATATTTTTGTGTCAAATAATTTTTTGCCATGGAAAAATGGACTTTGGGCTACAAAATTTTACATGGCAAGTTGTAATGAGCACCATGAGTGGGAGTTAGTTTAGTGAGGAATTAATTTCAACTTTAAAATAAATTTTTTTTAAATGATGCTAATTTTATTTTACCTTTAATAAGTTGAACTATCCAATTGGAACTAAAAGCATTTCCAATGCAATGCTATATGGGCTGCTATTTCTAAATTATAGTATCTCTAATGCCATTTCTAAAATATAGCAAGTGAGCTTAAAAATGGGCTCTCCAATGCAATGTTATATGGGCTGTTAATTTTTAACTTTGCCAAAACTGATGCCAATTGCAGCACAAGAAATAGTTACTGCTATTTCAGAAAAAAAAGATCATAAAAAATTTCACCAAATAGGATTTAGTTTGCAAAACAAGAATTACAGATCTTGATTAGTTGATTTAGAAAAAAAAATTAAAACAAAACCCATACGTACAAGTTAGCAATTGCAGAGAAAGGGGGGCAAGCTAGAGAGTTGAGAGACAGGCACTGAAGCTTGCGAACGGTGAACCCGAACTAGAACAGCGGACGATGGAAACTGAAAGATATGGGTTTTTAACTTCTAATCTTGTTGATTTTGTAGTTTGCAGTTGCACACAAAGAGAGAGAGAGAAAGGGGCAATTTCAGACTTGAGAACGAGAATAGAGATGAAGGCGAATTGGGGAGACTGAAATGATTTGCCCTAAATATATATATATATATATTTAATAATAATATAATCAAATATATATAATATACATATATATATATGTATATAATATAAATTTTTGAAAAAAAAATTATATTAAAAAATTAATTCACAAATAGTAGTATGGAAGGGAAAGCGCGCGAAGTGTGACAGTAGGAACGTACTCGGAGCAGTGAGAGTGGCACCCGTTAAAAAGATTGTGTCACTTAGAACGATATACATTTTTAACAATCTCTGATGATAGACTCGTATGTTCTTGCTTCACTAGTTGAATTTCATGCACTCCATATTAGAATTTTCTAGAATCCCTTTAATATATTTTGAAATTTTTGATCACATTGATTTTATTTTCTTTTATATCATTTTGTTTTATCTCTTTTTTTTTCTTTTGTTTTTGTTTTTGTTTTTTTTTTTTTTTTTGGTCCTTTTTTAACCAGATATTTTAGATTTTTGCTTCTTTTTAATTATGTTTAATTTTAATTTCCTTCTAATGTCTACAACTTGACTTGGAATATGCCTAATATTAATATTACTAATGCAAATATGAATAATGGGAATGGTAGTTGAAAAAGAATGGTTGTGTTAAAAAATAACATTTGCATGAAATACACTATTAGAACAGAATTGCTAAAATGTAACATTTTGACACTGTAACACCTGTTAAAATATAGATTTGGCATGCAAAAATAGCTTTTAGCATTGGAGATGGTCTAACGCATTAAAATTTATGAGCTCGAATTGTAAGCTTTAAAATTTCAAAGTACTAAAAAAAAAAAAATGGGACAATCGTTGTATCCAATCCAGGTTGGATGAAACCGGGGTACGTGGACCAATCAATATAAGACACGTGTTCAAAAATAAAATTAGAATTAAATTGGGTATTACCCAATTATTTGGATTTGACCCGTTGCTCTAACATTTTTAAGGAACCAAAATAACCCTATCTCTCCCTCTTTATTCTCTTTCTACCTCTTCTCCTTCACCCATATCTCAAACAACCCTATACGAAGTCAAGGTTGCCATCGCCGCCATGGCAATGTTAGTAACTTCACCTCATTATCTCCTCCTGCAAAACCTTAACCATCACCTTCTCAAAAGCCCCAACACCGTCACCACCACCTATTTCAATGCATTCCCTCTCAACCAATCTTCACGCCTCAACAAACCCATATCGATCACCTGTTCGATAACCCAAATCCAAGATTGCCCAACCTTCTCTTCCCAATCCCAAGATCGAGTCTTCAATTTCGCCGCAGGTCCGACTACTCTGCCTGAAAACGTGCTCAAGACGGCCGAATCTAAGCTCTACAATTGGCGTGGAGCCGGAATGAGCGTGATAGAAATGAGCCACAGAGGGAAAGAGTTCCTCTCAATCATCCAGAAAGTAGAGTCAGATCTGCATACCCTTTTCATCATACCCTCCGATTATGCTGTTTTGTTCTTGCAAGGTGGCGTAACCACCCAGTTTTCTGCGATCCCTCTCAATCTGTTGAAAATCAATGACTCAGTTGATTACATAGTCACTGGGTTGTAGGGTGACAAGGCTTTCAAGGAAGCCACCAAGTATTGCAAGCCTTGTGTGATTTGGTCAGGCAAATCTGAAAAATATACCAAGATTCCATCTTTTGATCAATTAGAGCAGAACCTGCATGCCAAGTATTGGCATATATGCGCGAACGTTGAGACATGGGTGAAGGAGAAGAGGCAGAGAAAGAATGAAGCGGGGGACGATAGGGTTATTTTGGTCCCCTTAAAAATGTTAGAGCAACGGGTCAAATCCGAATAGTTAAGTAATACCCAACTTAATTCTAATTTTATTTTTGAACACGTGCCTTATATTGATCATCCACGTATCTGGATACGTGACCTTATTATCATGACCTGGACTAAAACTTAGGTTAACAATTTATGATTAGATTTAGGTTAAGTCTTATTATTAAATGCCTTATTGTAAAGGGTTGGAGTTTGCCCATTTACTCAAAAACTCAAACTGTTAGATAGTGTTACATACTCACCTATTTATATCCAATTATTTTCCTATTCGGATTCGATGTGGGACAAATGACCCTTGTTACATTCTCCCCCACCCAAACCGCAACGTCCTCGTTGCAGCTTGGGCCACCCTGCCTACCCGAACTGTAAACTCGGACGCCCTCTGAGCCGAGCGCTTGATGTGATATCGGATCAGGATTGGATCTGACTTTGATACCAACTGTAATGAGTGGGCTCTTGCCCATTTACTAAAAAACTCAAACTTTTTGGTACCCACCCATTTATATCCAGTCGGTTTTTTATCCGGATCCAATGTGGGACAAACGATTCTTGTTACACTTATCTATCAGGATGATTTTTCAACCTAGAGTTTTTTCAATATTATCCTAAATTCATTAAAATAATTGGGTGAGTTTGATTTAGATTTGAGTTAATTAAACCAAATCCCTCAAAATTAATTATGAGAATGATTTATAGTTTATTATTTCAATTCTAACCTGGCAATTTAGTAATCCACGGTCCTTCAAGGCACAAGATTACACATGAAACTAGATGCTTCAAAAACCAATGTGCACAGCTTAAATCTGACATATAAAATCTAAAAACGTGCGTCAGGATGGGATGATTGGGAAGATAGATAAAGAAAAGAAAAGAAATGATAGACCTTAAGTGTGTTTGGATGGTTTAAAAAAAAAAATACATCTCTCTCCAAAAATGAGAATATAGGAAGAAAAATAATAGTGTTTAGTAATATTTTCATAATTTTAAAACTATCGTCAATAATTAAAAAAGAAAAAAAAAATTGTATTTCATGCATACCCCTTCTATTTAAAAAGATATGATAGTAATTTGATTGTTATCATTTCTCTTTTTTTCCTTTTATCATATTCAAATAAAAATACTATTATTTATTTTCTTTTCTCTCCTATCTATTCAAACATAATTATAAATTATTGCTATTATTTTTTTTGTTCTTTTTTTGTCGTAATTAATACCATCATTTCTTTTTTCTTTGTTGCCTAACAATTTTAGCTGTTAAAGCTTGATCCCGTTCAAGGGTTAACAATAGTTCAAATCCCAGATTGAGACCACCTCTTTCCAACAATATCTAATTAAAATCCTAGCTTACCAAATTTCAACCTTCAAATATATACACAGAGAGCTTATTCGCGCCATCTTCAAACACAGATTTAGGGGTAGAGTTTGGAAGTTTTCTGCCAATGGAAGAGATTACAGAGGGAGTGAACACCATGAACATCTCCGACTCTCACAAGAAGAATCGCATTCAAGTGTCCAATACTAAGAAACCCCTCTTCTTCTATGTCAATCTTGCCAAGGTAATACACACTCTCTGTCTTCACTTATCTATAACTATATCTATTTACCAATTATATATCAGTCTTTGTTCTGTATGATTATTATTAATAATTATTTTGGGTATCTTCCTAAGACTTGTGTTTGCCTTTTGGCTTCCAAATTAGGGATTTTGTATCATTTTCTGTTGTAATTTGTTATTTGTAATTTGTTTTATTCTCAGTGATGTTCTGTTTACTTGGCATTTGTCCGTGTGTTAATTTAAATGTTGATACCTTTTCTTGTTGCAGAGTACATGCAGCAACACAATGAAGTGGAGCTTTCAGCTCTTGGAATGGGTATCGTGTTCTTGTTCACATGTCTCTTTTACATTCTCTCTTTCCATAATCCACACACACCCTGTTCGTGTATGACTTTTTGCGAATAATAATATTAAATCTTGACTTATTTTTGTCAATCTATTATATATGGGATAATCTCTCATCTGCTACATTTAACAACCAATTGAGGGAATTAAGTTGAAGTTTTACGTCCTGTTGTTGGCATCTTTTTTTAAATGTCACTACATTTTTATGTGGTATGTGACTTTAAGAAATCTTTTCACACATTACTTCATACTTATAATTTAAATTTACTAAAGATAAAGCTAGTGGTTTTTAATATATTTGTTTGTTATCATAATTGTTTTTAGTTAAGTTTAAGATCTTTACTTCTTTCAATTTTTGGATCTAATAGGAATCTATACTATGTATTTGAGGGAGACTTGTTTTGTTAGCTTTGATATGCACAATTTTTTTTTTTTCTGTCTCAGAATTAGTGCCAATATTTTTAGCTGTTTGAACTTTCTTGAGAGGTAGCTTAATATAACTAAAGATCAGATATGTTGGGGTAATTAAGTGGGGAGTATAGAATGAAGGAACTCCTTTTATTCTCATGTCACTCTCATCAAAATTTATTTTGTGTTTCACGAGGTGTTTTCAAATATTGTTGGGGCATCAGAGAAACTAATCCTTTGGGCAGCCAGTCCTATCAATTCATGGATTGCATTCTTCACTTACAATGACTGGTTTTGATTATTGACTTTTTACTGTTCTACTTAGCATTTTAATTTGGTTTTCTTTTCCCCAGTACATGTGGTTTTCTAATATATTGTTGCATTAAGTGCACCAGATTATATTGAAACTTCAGTTGTCATTTACTAATTTTGTGGTATTTGTCTGATTTTATGATGCTTTTTTTTTATTATTTTTTTTTTTAATTTTTTGTGTAACTTAAAAATTTGTACGTGGAAATACTGTATTAAACTTCTTTGCCTCCTCTATGCGCTGTCTTCAGGGAAATAGTGTATTAAACTAAAGGTTAAGAGGCTCAAAAAAGTTTAAGGGCAAGAAAGGTCTATAAATTAGTGGTGCAACTTGGGCTTGCCCAACCCAGCCCAATCCCAACCCAACCTCAATCCGAATAGGGTTGGGTTGGGCCAACCCGAATTGCACCCAACATGGGTTGGGTTATAGCCCGAACCAAATATGTTCAGTCGAGTATAAATTGATGAAAACCCCTAAACCTCGTGGGTTGATGAGAACCCATGAACCTCATATCAATTGATGAGAACCCCAAATCGGGTTGGGTTGGGTCAAATTGAATTGCACCCAGCATGCGTTGGGTTATAATCCGAACCAAATATGTTCGATCGGGTATAAACATGGATTGGATTATAACCCGAATTGCACCCAACATGGGTTGGGTTAGTATAAATTGATGAGAATCCTTGAACCTCATATCGATTTAAGCTGACGCTGCTCGTGCTGAAAGCTCGAAGGCCCCAACATAATTTGGAAGGTCTTCTAAGTAACCCAAACAAAGTCCCTTTATTTTATTTGTTTTGTGTAGTAAAAGACGGCCCCCTATTTGTTTGTTTTGTGATTTGTAATTATCAAGATGTCACTCGATGTTCCAACATTTTGTTATGTCTATCATAAGTCCACTTGCTTTAATAAAACTTTTACAAATATGCCCTTCAAAACAAATTTATAAATAATAAAATTCAATACGAGCATCTCAGACACAAGAGGCATATAAAACACACAACTTAAAACACATCACTGATGTGTCCATTCAAGACATGTATGTATATATATGAAAGGTTCTATCACCTTGTCTTAATATTTGGCGGTTGCAGTGTTGGATATTTGGTTTCTATGTCCAGAAATCATAGGTGTAGCAATCCTGAGCAGAAGGTAGAAACTTTGTGGGTCAAGAAGGTTATTGATGGTGACAATTGCATGGAACAGGACATTACCATATACTTGCTATTCCCAATGCAAGGGCCATTAGTTTTCTCTTAATTGTTCTGAATGATGAACTAGTGCTAATTACAAACTTCAAAGCTTCCTTCTTCAAACTGTCTTTGTAAAAGATTACCGTTACTAATACTGGTGTTCCTCTATATAACCTTTACACTCTTGTTATTTTTTGCTTGACCAAAATAAATAAAAACAGTACTCGTATACCATTGCAGCCATTGCCACGGTTGTCACTATTGCAGAAATTCTGAAAAACAATGGACTGGCTGTTGAGAAAAGTGAGTTCCTTACCCCACTTGCTGTAGCCATTTCCATTGACCTTATTGAAATTCCACATTCAATGTTAAATTCCTTGAATTTGATTTTTTTGTAAATTAAAACATGCAGAAATCATGACATCTACCGTGGATATCAAGGATGAATCTAGGGGAAGACCTGTCCAAAAAGCCAAGGTAAGTTTGACCATGCAGAAGAATCCTTCAAGAAACTGCCAGTCATTTCATACCAAGAGTCATCCTAATTTGGCACTTATGCTAATTTCCTTATGTTGAAGAATGAATCAGACAGCAGTACTGTAGTTAATGTACCAGCAGTTGTTTCATCTAGTGGTGTTTCCTGACGTTGCTAAGGGAGTGATTCAGGGTTCAAGTATTGGTTGGGGCACGGGTGTGCATGTATTGTCTATGCAAAGAAAGTGATAGAATCTAGGTATCAGAGGGATGAAAAAAAAATTAGGAAATAAAAAATCTTTAATATATAAACTTTTAAGTCTTTGGATGGATTTTATGGCCTAATTTCCTAAAGGCCACTGGATCAGTGGTGTGGACTACCTGGTCCGATCCGTCAGATTTTGGTCACTTTATTATATTTAGTATTTAGATTGACCATGCTCTGGGTTTTAAATTATTTTTCATGTGGGTACATCACTTTCACGTGCTGATTTGGGCCTCACCAGTTGAAACCATATAAATCCCTTTATCAAACATTGAATTAATCCAATCAAAGAAAATAAAAAAGGATTAAAGGTTAGCTAACAAGTGAACATTAAATGAATTGTTGTTATTTGTTATTGATTGGCTGCTGGTCCATTGATATTTTGGAAGTGTCATTCCCAATCTGCAAACTGAAATTTGAAGCATCAATTGTATTAAATCTTGGTCCCAATATAATTGAAACATATGTGAGGCAATGGTTGCTCATAATGCAAGTTGAGCTTTTTTCACATATAAGTTTGCTTTTCATGGTCAATTTTTCTGATCCTCTGGTGGAAAATGTTTGCCAAAGTATTTTGTATTTTCTTTAGGTAACTCTAAAAGTAGTGGGTTGTATTTGTTATCCCCTCTTCAGAGGAGACCATTTTTTTCAGTGTTTCTGTTTCAGATTGAGATTTTACTGGGGAAGACAGCCAACTTTGACGAGTTAATGGCTGCTGCACAAGAGGAGAGGGAAATTGCGGCCAACTTTGTTGAGGAGCAGAGCTGAAGGGAGAAATGTCCATCACTCGACTAATTATTTTCCAAGTGTCGATAGTGGTAGATGTGCCTGGTAACCAGTTTTCTTGATTTATGGGTCCTCAGAGTGGTCCTTAGAATAGCATTCAGGCAGTTTTAGTAGCTTTGTGGTGGTTATGTCTTCCCCTTGTTGTTTCAGAATAATTGTTCAGTGTTCAAAGTTTCATTTTTGTTGTTCCTAGTTCTTTTCAATGGCACCTTGATATCTGGCTGTGTCATAGGTAGATTATGAGCTCTGTATTGGCAGTGTCCATTTTGGCTCTCCTTCTCTTTTCCCGTTTCCAATTTTATTTGTGTTCATTGAAATGCATTCTAAATTTTTTTTCACGGCGACAAACTTGTTTATACTGAATGCATAGTAGCCCAAGTTGGATAGATTCTTTTGTCACTTGTTCACCTGTATAGGCTACCTTCATTTACTTCACACGCTATGGTGTTTTATTTTTCTTTTTATTTTTAATATAAGGTAATTTTCAAATATCAATGTTTTTGTTAATATGGACAACACTCTCTCACTTTGGAGTTGTTGGGAGGAAAAGTCAAGTGATTGGTTCTGTTTGCAGTGATTGGTTCTGTTTGCAGAGATCATCTTTGCAGTAAAGTGTATAAAATGATTAAAAGGAAATAGTGCTAGGAAATCTCTCTCAAGTCTCAACACAGAGAGGTGCTAGGAAATTTCTTTAGACCATATGCACAAATATATGGAAAGTTGAGAATCATTAAATCTTCAAAGATAAAAAGTCTGAGTGATTTAGAAATAGTTCATATGGCAATAGGGTTGGCACAAGTTTTTGTGACGTTAGAGGCATTAAAAATGGGTGATACATGGGATTTAAGTCATGTGAGGCGCGGTGGCTGTTAGCCTGTAGGGTTGGGGTTGTGCGCTGAAGCTGTGAACAAATGTCGTCAACAAGGAAAGTTGAATGTCTCGTGTGCCTTCTTATTTTCATCTGAATGTAAGAGAGTTCGTTAAGTTTGAATATAGATTCACTCTCTTGCTATGAAAAAAAATAAAAAATCATCATTTAGTTCAATGCGAAAAACATAAAACAAAAAATATATACTATATGGTGCCAAAAACATAATCCACCGGTGCAAGCAACACGTACCCAAGAATCATAATCATAATCCATGAAAAATCATATTTGCAATAAAATTTCCAGCATATTTGTTCACACACTAAGGCGTATCAAATGGCATGTCTATTTTTTTTTTTTCCATAAATAATTGTAGCAAATGTTACATGCAACAAAGTTGAAGATTCAAAGTTGGTTATCCTTCAAAATAGTATTAGAGGACATTTCATTGAGCTGTCTAGTGCCTATATTGAACTATAAATAAACATTATTTTTAATGGTACATATAACACAACTGGGAGTTTGGCCTCTCCTAAATCGGTGGCCAATAAAGTCTACGGTGACCAATCCAATAGTGAATTGAGGTCAATCCTGTAAATATAGCAGGTCCACGTATCTTCCACATATGTCTTGATTATAACCAAAGGTTTTGCTCCAGAAATAAGAGTCTCCCATTTTATACCATGCCAATATGACACTTCAATACTGTGCAAAATCAGAATCGATGGTAACCAACAGCAGGGGTAGTTATACGTGGAAGCATTGACGTGATTACTGCAATTCAAATCAAAAATCAATTCTAAATATATGAGTATTAAAATTTATAGTGGTAAAAGAAAAGAAGAGTGGGTATGCATGAAAATAACAAGAGTTTAAGAAACCTTGATTTGGTCTACTCCAGTGTCTCAGTTGTTTTCCTTTCCCTTTTCTCTGTTTATTTTTTTTTTATTTTTTTATTTTTACTCCTAAAATATAATAAAAGCTAGAAACATCAGTAAAGATAGAAATGGTTGATGCGTAGATATACATTAAGTAAACATTATCATTTGTTTTACAATTCATAATTGTAAAAAAAAAAAAAAAAAAAATTCTCATTAAACCAAATCCAAAAATAAAGCATAAAATTATGTATATAAGAAGTTTATATGAAACCAAGCAAGGAACCCTGTAGGTTTATAGAAAAAATGAATGTAAAATTAGTTTTTATGATGAAACTATTTTGATGTTGCTTTTGTGTTCACGGCACAAGGGTATGTGAAAAAAAAAAAGAAAAAAAAAAGAAGCTAACGAAGAGCAGTAATTAAATAATAAAAAAAGGCCCAGAACTAACTTGGGAAACCTTGTTCTTCCATCCGCTCCTTGCATTTCATATCCTTATTGCTTAGCAGGAAGCACATATATATATATAATTATATACACACACAAAACAGAAAAAGCATGAAAATGTGTGATGGTTACGGAATTAGAAGATCATGTCATTTCTATGAGTTATCTATTTTCACTGTGAAATTGTCCTTGATATCATACCCTCATTGACATTGCATTGACAAACTAATCAATACTTGTTATAACTTCATGCATCCAAGTGTTATGGCAATTAAGAACGCGTGATGATCGTATGTCAGACCTTGGCAGATTAAGGAGTGTTTGGTTGCACAATTTCAAACAAATCGTTCTTTTTTCTTTCTCTAAACATATGTTGAGAAAAGTGGTGTGGCAACTTGCTGTATCCAAAAAAAAAAAAAAGGCTCCCATATCATTTTTATAAATAAATTTAAACTTTTAACCTTTCATTTGAGATGGCGAATGACAAACAAGCAACCCATTCAAGAAAGAGATTGATAACTCGTGAATAAGGAATAGGTTATATCTATAGCAGTTACGTTGAATTTGTTATCCCCTCTGGTGGGAAATGTTTGCCAAAGTGTTTTGTATTCTCTTCAGAGTAGATCAATGTTTTCAGTGTCTCTCTTCAGATTGAGATTTTACTAGGGAGATTGCGGCCAACTTTGTTGAGGAGCAGAACTAAAGAGAGAAATGTCCATCACTTGACTAATTATTTTCCTTGTGTCCATAGTGATAGATGTGCCTGGTAACCAGTTTTCTTGATTTATGGTTCCTCAGGGTGGTCCTTAATTAGAATAGCACTAGAGACCGTTTTAGTAGCTTGTGGCGGTTATGTCTTCCCCGAGTTTGATACAGTGTACTTGTTCAATGTTCAGTGTTCACAGTTTCATTTTTGTTGTTCCTAGCTAGTTCTTTTTAATGGCACCTTGATATTTGGTTGTCACAGGTAAATGATGAGTTATGTATAGACTGTATTGGCAATGTCCATTTTGGCTTTCCTACTCTTTCCGCTTTTCCGTTCTTGTATGTGTTCATTGAAATGCATTCTAAATTTTGTGTTCAGTGAAATGCATTAATTCTAATTTTTTTTCCGTGGCCATAAACTTGTTTCTATTGAATGCATAGTAGCCCAAGTTGGATAAATCTTTTGTCACTTGTAATTTTCAAATATCAACGTTTTTCTTAATATGGCCAACACTCTTTCTCACTTTGGAGTTGTTGGGAAAAGTCAAAAGTGATTGGTTTTGTTTGCATTGATATTTTTTGCAGTAATACACATGCATGGAAAGTGTATAAAATCGTAAAAGGAAATAGTGCTTGGAAATCTCTCTCAAGCACATCAAGGTGTTAGGAAATTTCTTTAAACCACATTCACAAAGTTAGGATTAACAATTTGTTTCCATACGATCCATACGAACCATTTTCATTTTCATGTCAAGATTTTAAATAGGAAATAAATAGTATAAAAATTCTAAAAAAATGACATTAATTTCCAGTCGAAGGAAGTCATTTGTGATAGCCCTTAAAAAAATCAAGGGTATAACTTAGTAGAATTGACTTTCAAAAGAGATGGAAAGTTGGATAATATGTGATGTTTGGGGCATTAAAAATGGGTGTTACATAGGAGATTAGCAATAAAAAATGGATGTTACATAGGAGATTAAAAATGGGTGCTACAATGTTCCTATTAAGTTTGTTAGGTTTGAACGTAGAATTACGTTTTGACTTGAAAAAAAAAAAAAAAATCTTTTGGTTTAGTACCAAAATTATAAAACTGATTAATAAAAATATAAATATATGTCTCTCAATCGCGTTATTCTTACTTTTTAACTATTCAAATTAAAATTCTAAAAACTACGGATCTCATGGGTCAGCGACAGCAAAATGAATCTTAACCAACATCTCGTGTCATATACCATATGGAGTGATTATACAGTAAGTATTCACACGATTACTGCAATTTCAAACAAGAACAGAAATCAAAAACTTGAGAAGAAAAAAAAACTATAAACCTACCAAACTCATAAATGGAAATCTACAAGAAAAAAAGAGTAGAGTATCATCAATCATGGAAGTGTTATACAATGAAAATAACAATAGTAAGAGTTTTAGAAACCTTGTTTTGGTCTACTCCAGTATCTCAGTTATTTTTCTGTCCCTTTTTCCTTTTGCCATTTACTCCTAAAATATAATAAAAGTTAGAAATTTCATGCGTCGATATACAAGTAAACATTACCATTTGTTTTACCATTGATAATTGTAAAAAACAACTCATTAAACCAAATCCAAAATGAAGCATGTAACTATGTGTATGAGAAATTTATATGAAAAGAAGCAAAAAAAAAAAAAAAAAAAAAAAAAAAAAAAAAAAAAAAAAAAAAAAAACCAGTAAACTAAATAAAAAAACGAGTGTTGAAAAATTAGTTTGCACGATGAAACTATTTTGATGTTGCTTTTTGTGTTCACAACACAAGGGTTTGTGTGACAAATAAAAAAAATAAAAAAAAAGAAGTAATTAAATTTTTTATAAAAAAAATTAACGAAGAACAGTAATTAAATAAATAATAATAAAAAAAGAATGGCCAAGAATTAACTTAGAAACCTTGTTCTTCCATCCGCTCCTTGCATTTCATATCTTTATTGCTTCGCACAAAGCATATATATATATAGACAAAATAGAAAAAGGATGAAAAGGTGCTATGGAATTAGAAGATAATGTCATTTCCATGAGTCATTTATTTGCGCCTGGCAAACTTAATTGAAGAAAATGCTTTGAATAAAATAGATCAACATCATTTCCATGAATTAAATTATTTTTGAGAATAATACCCTCCTTGATATTGCATTTGGCAAACTAATCAGTACTTGTTATAACTTCATGCATCCAAGTGTTATTGCAATTAAGAACACATGGTCACCGTATGGGAAAAATATCACACAAACACGCACAGTGCGTACTAAAGCACTTTTCTTA